GCTGTATGGAGCCGGCAGACAAATATTACCGCCTGGGGGTAAATTTCAATCGAATACGGATGGGGCGGAATGCTCGAGATTTGGGGTGAAAAGTGCCAATTCCAGCCACCCTCGCGGATTATTTGCTAAACGGGAAGCGGAAGTATTTGGGTAGTATCGTCTATAGGGAGTAGTTGTCCATATTCTAGATCTTCGAAAACTACCATAAAATATCATAAAAAGAAAATAAATGGAAAAATGGGTACTTTTGCATTATCGGGGGACTTTCGGTTAAGATCAATTTTTGAATATAAATAAAGGAAGTGTTTCTAACTGTTTTATACTATTCCCAAACATAAAAATGTTACAAATTTTCAGTAAAAAACACAAAAATACCGATTTTTATTGACCAAATCGACCAACTTTAGACCCAAAATTTCGAATTTTTCAAAATTTTTAAGCTTTGAGATAGTTTTTCGACTTAATTCCAGTTAAAGCGATAATGCAAAAGAACCTATTTTTGTGCGCTTGAAGTTCAATATCCATCCACTTTTTTTAAATGCTAAATTTTAACTTTTTAAACACCCCCCGGCTCCCGATAATGCAAAAGAACCCAGTTTTATGCGTTTCTAAATTCAATACATATATATTTATATATTATTTCAAGAACAACACACTAAATTTAAAACACTAAATACCCTAAATTTTAGCCACCGCCCCCCATTGATAATGCAAAAGAACCTCTTTTAAAACAGGTCGATCTCTCCTAAAAAGCCACAAGGGCATTTCCATCTGATTTCTGGGGTTATCGATCGTTTTTCGAAAATTGCCTATCATTTTGGACACGGGAAATGGACGGGGAGACGTATAAAACACCCCAGAACGGGCATAAATGTTGGTGGTTGACACTTGGAGGAGAAACGAGAGAGAAAGATTGAAACTTGAGACGAACCACCTCGGTCGCGTCGCGAGGGCAACATATTCCCTCCAAATACTAATTTGCCAGAGGGGGCGCATCCGGATTGCGGCCAATTAAATATCGTTGGTGGCTACGAACGATCCGTTCCGCATCATATTTCGGTTGGCAACAGTTGGGGGTGGGTGGGCCATTTGGGGATGGGGGGAATGATAAGGGGGGTTGAGGGGGACGCCACAGGCTTCCGTATTCCGCAGGCTATGCACTTAATTGGCTTTGTTAGTCATAAGCGATGAGCCAAAGGGGACGTGCAAATGAGGAGCAAGACGAAGGGAAGGTCGTCGAATCGGGAATTTGCAAGAAATTCGGGAAATAAAGTTTTTAGATTTTAAGCACAGGTTGGATTATTAAATAGGTCACTGAGCGAGAGAGAGAGAGAGAGAGAGAGAGAGAGAGAGAGAGAGATAGCGAGAGAGAGAGAGATAGCGAGAGAGAGATAGCGAGAGAGAGTGAGAGAGAGTGAGAGTGCGAGAGTGAGAGTGAGAGTGTTAAGGCGAGCGATAGAGCTGGAGAGATAGATACGGAGACGAGGAAGTGAGAGAATTGGCGAGGTAGTGTGAGAATTAGATAGAGCGAGAAAGCGAGAGAGAGAGAGAGTCTGTGAGTGAAAGAGAGTGAGAGAAAGGGAGAGAGAGACCCTGAGAGAGAGAGAGAGAGAGAGAGAGAGAGAGAGAGAGAGAGGGAGCTCCAGACGTCCATAATATCTAGAGTTGGTTCTTTGGCATTATCGGGGGGAGGGATTTTTCCTACAAGTCCAGGAATACCCGTCATTTTACGTATTTTGATAGTTTTAAATCAAATTTAACTTAAAGTCGAAAATCTATCCAAAAACATCGCAAATTTTAAAAATTCGAAACTTTGTTTGAAATATTTATATTTTTCTGTTAATAAAATGTAAAGCTTTTAAATATGGGAATAGAGAGCTTCTAAGGATGTCCGCTTTTTCTACTGCCCCCCCCCCACCCGATAATGCATAAGCACCCCAAAAATACATCGCCAAGCCTTGCCGATCCCTTTAGCCTAGATGCTACGGATCGAATCATGCGCCAAATTTGCCTAAAAAGCCCAAAACAGACGTTCGGCGGAAGTGATCTGTTGGCTCGGATGGCCTTTCGGTTCTCTATCTCTCGCGCTCTCTCTCTCTCTCTCCCCCCCCCTCTCTCTCTCTCTCTCTCCAGGAAGGATCCACTGATTGTGGCGCCAAAAAAGAATTAGCCTGCGGTGTGTGTATGTTGAAGGGGCTGGAGGATGGGCAGCACACGACTTTCACGCGTGGCGAGTCTCAGACCCGCCGAGAGGAAATCTCTTCAGAATATCCTCCCCTCCTGCCCTGCTTCCCACACTTTTGAGGAATGAAAAGGGGCGTCGGAGGGCCGAGGCAAGGCTTCCCCCCCCCCTTCCCTGGCCATTGCAAGAGCACACTAGGCCCCTGGATGGAGATGGGCTTTCAGGTCGACAGACCGAAGGAGGAGCTAACTGGGCAGAGAAAGGTTATCAGGGAGTGCGACTGGGTGGGCTGAGGCTTGGGCTTAGGTTCGGGTCGGCTAGACTTACGTTAGGCTTCGGTTAGGCCTATGCTTAGGCTTCGGGAGCTTAGGCTTAGGCTTAGGTTAGGCGTAAGCTTAGACTTAGGGTGCTTAGGGTCCCTGGGGTGCTTAGGGCGCTTAAAGTGCTTATAGTTAGGCTTAGGGTGCTTAGGCTTAGGTTAGGCTTATGTTTGGCTAGGCTTAGGCATAGGTGAGACGTAGGCTTAGGCTTTGGTTAGGCTTAGGCTTAGGGTGCTTCAGCTTAGGATTGCCTTAGGCTCAGGCTTAGGATGCTATGTCAAAAAATGTGTTTTCAAACCTACTCACCTACTCACTAACCGTACTCAAAAACCCGTGATAAAAAAGCCGAGTCCTCCCCGGCAACTAGCTCGAGACAAAGCCCCCGACACCCACTAACAAACTTTGGCACCCGTCCGCGCTAAAGTTTCTTCCAAATTGGGTGTGGGTGCGCAGGAGGCGAGTTCCGGGGGTAGACCTCCCGGTACACCTCCAGAAAGCGGTGCCCAGCATTGGCCATATTGAGCCAGATAGACACAGCATTCGAAGAGCCGACTAACTAATCAGGACGACGACCCCAGCAGGCAGTGGATGGGACTCCCATCCACCCATTTGCACTGATGAGCTCGTCCGATATGCCATCTCGGCCACGCCTTCAACCAGGGGGGTACATCAGCTAAATGGAAACACGGCGGGGTACGGTGTCTGCCCTAGAGATTGGTCTAATTATACCCGGCCTGTCTGTTGTTAAAATTACATGACTGTCTAGTGCACGGTAATTTTAGTGTGTTACCATGATTGACTTTACCACCACGCGACGGATTCATGATATTTCGTGACCCCATAATTATAACGTAAATTGTTTATAAAAGTCCAGAAGTGCGTAATAATATGAGTACTTTAATAGTGTACTTATTAAAATGCCACTATCTTCGGCTGGAGAAACTATCTAATGAAAAACTAAACTTTGGCCAAAACGACGGAATTTTGTGCGAATCGTTTACTTTCGGTCGAAAAATCTATTTTTACCAAAAAAAATCAGTTTTTGCGCTTGGCAATAGTAAAAAATATGTAGAAAAGCTTATTTTATTCATATTGGAAAAACTCGAGCCTAAAAAGTACCCCCTCCCCAGATAAGGGGAAAGAACCGACGAGATGAGAGTATAACGGCTAGCGACACCATTTTTTTGACTGCTGGTAAAGGATCTTGTCGGGGATAAGTTTCCATCGATTTTTTTTGCTAAATTCCAAAGGTACCTAGCTTTAACATCTAGTTAATCCAACCCCCCTCTAAAGCTTGTCACCTCGAAAAAAAACCCAGAAAATTCTGAATGGCTGCATGCACGAAAAAATGAGTAGGCGCAGACAAGTGGCCCTCCATCGTCGCTTATAAACCGCCGAGACAATGGACGATGGCCGCGATGACGTAAACTCAAAGAAAGACACGACCACCACCCTTCCGGAAAATTAAGGTTGAGCCATGGGTGAAAGAAGCGCGAGAAAACCCCCCGCTAATTCTAAGCATCAAAAAAATTAGAATATGTTGAAAAAATAACCTAAAAAGAAAGCCTGGTAATAATTGCGATTATCTCGCCTGAACGTTCCATGAGAGCGGCTTTATTCCAGAGGTTCAGGTGGCTCTTAACCAAATCATAACTTTCGTTAAAAACCTAAAAATATTACGTTACAACCCTATTTTAAGATGTGCCCTCTCCAAGCTGGGAACAATGGTAGCAAACGTGTTTTCACAAACAAGAACTGATTCCAGGGCAAGCGTCCGAAATCCTCTTTCGCCCAGAACGATGTTGCACAACTCACCGCCCTGTCCTCACCCCGTTTCTCCAAGCAAGTAGCGCTAACTTTGATGAATCAAGGGAATTTTCCAGGGAAAATCGCCCACATTGAGTGAGCAGCTGAGCGCGGCGAACGACTTTGAATCCACTGTCTACTTCTGACGGCCCGTCGCTCAACGTGAAGAAAGAAAGTTTGGCACGCGGCTCTACCTTACAACAATCTTTAAAGAAAGCACTCCCTTAAATCCGGAACTTCCATGGTTAATAAAGGTTAATTGGCGAGAGAATTGGTCGTTTTCTCGGTGGTAAAAGTCTCGAACTGAAATGTCGGCCAAGAATTTATACATTTTTACTTATTTTGCTTTTTTCGGCATTTTCTTTCCCGTTTGGCAATTACTGCATGGAAGTAGCCCATCCGTAGTACGATCTAAAGCTAAAGATCTAATTTACTCATCTTACAAGAGGTGTTTCTTTTCCAGACCGTGAAAGCTGCACGAAAATTCGAAAGAGCGCGGCCTTCCGACCCGTTCCAATTCCCATTGAGTGCCCTTTCGACCGTAACCCTCGTCACCCCTGCGCGTTCAGGCTGCGGATCGTAAGCAAAGCCCGGCCATTTTACAAAGATTTTGTCAGCATAAACCCCTTTTGCTAAACTTTTGCTCCGTTTTTATCTTTTAACACACCCGATTCATTTTATTCCTTTGCAGAATGTCTCTACCAACTTTGCACAAAGAATTGCTGCAAAAATGGGGCAACGAGAAGGACCGGAAGCTCGACCAAATTGAAACTATCGTCAAGAACCTCAAGAACGCTCTGGAAGATGGCGAGCAAGTCGGCAAACTCGATCGGAACGCCCTAATCACCATCAACAGGGACGTCTACGAGATTGATGCCCTCGTTGCCGCACTCAATGGTGATTTGAAGGCGTTTGATACGGCCATCTCGAACATTATGGCTTTCTACGCCTCGCTGCGCGATGATTCGCCGAACAAGCACCTTCTCGTCGGCCTCAATTTGATGTTTTTGCTGGTTTCGAATCGCCTCTCGGACTTTCACGTCTTGCTGGAGCAAATCGATCAAAGCGTGCAGTCGGGCAATCCCTACATTTCGACCCCCGTCAAGATGGAGCAGTCCCTGATGGAGGGAGCCTATAACAAGATCGTCCTCACCGAGAAGAATATTCCGAGCCCTTATTACGCGCCTTTTGTCCGGATAATGATGGACACGGTTCGTAGCGAAATTGCATCGAACCTCGAGAAGTCCTTCAAACAATGTCCGGTTCGGGATGCCCAGACCCTGTTACTGCTCGACGACCAGGCTAGCTTGAAGAAGTTTGCCGAAGCCCGCAAATGGAAGCTCGAGGGCACCAACTACAACTTTGGTGATGAAAAGATGGAGACCGGTGACCTGCACAAGACGGGCCTCGATACCCAGCGAATTGCTCGCCAAGCCATCTATTATGCAAAACAACTTGAAATGATTGTCTGATCTCTTTGTGATCTTATTACGAGTAATGTGCATATTTATTTTTCGTCGGCTCGTTTTCCGTCGGGTCTTTTCGCTTTTGCAAATAATCGCGTGCTGCTTTTGATGATTAAATGAATTTAGATGACGAAGGGTACGCAGGCGTTCGGAAAGAAGCACAACAAGACCCACACGTTGTGCCGACGCTGCGGACGGTCTTCCTACCACATCCAGAAGCACACTTGTGCTTCGTGCGGATTCCCCGCGGCAAGGAAGCGCACCTATCAATGGTCGACCAAGTCGATCCGTAGAAGGACAACTGGCACTGGCCGCATGCGTCACATGAAGACTGTCCACCAAAAGTTCAAGTGCGTATTTTTTTAATTTTTCTGGTATTTGGTATTCTTTTGCTTACAAGGAGACGTTTTTAGGTGGGCACGGAGTTTCGGAACGGGACCTAGCCTATCTTGTGCAGAATTTTTTGCTGATTAAAACGTATTTTGTAGAATTTGCGAAACGACCGGAAAACCAAAGTTATGAGGGTTTAAAGTGCGAAAAAGGCCCAAAATGGCCTACTTTCGGCACCTATAAAATATAGCAGAATAAGTTTCCACGAAAACGAATTAGTGCATCTTGCTTAGAAAATTACGCTCTTTTGAATCAGCCATCTAATGAAACAAGTTCGAACATTTTTTCAAAAAGATTAATTTAGACGACATGGTCCCCCATGTGAAATTTCAGCAATTTGCCGAAATTTTGAAATTTCCGCGTGACATAGCTCATTCGAAAGAGCGTAATTTTTTGAGCAAGATGCATTAATTAGTTTTCGTGGAAACTTATTCTGCTATATTTTATAGGTGCCGAAAGTAGCCTTTTTGCGCCTTTTTTCACACCCTTTAAACCCTCATAACTTTTTTTCCCGGTCGTTTCGCAAATTCTACAAGTACGTTTTAATCAGCAAAAATTCTGCACAAGATAGGCTAGTCCTTTCAAACTCCGTGCCCATCTCCTTGTTAGCGGTTTTGTTTGTCTGGAAACATTCGAGGGTGCAAAATTCAATCTGATCCGGAGAAAATTTGAAAGATCTTATGACGTTTTATTGCCTTTCTTTGGCCAATTATATTTTTTCAGGAACGGCTTCCGCGCCGGAGGAGTCCTAAGCCCAAGTCTGGAGCCCAGAGTAATATCGCCGGAAATGCCTAATTGTTTTTTTGTTGATTGTTGAGAATAAATCGGTTTAATTGCGAAAATCGCGGTTTACGTCTACCACGCTCGAAAGACAGATAGTGTCGTAGGAACTTTATAATGTGTAGATTGTCGAAAGACCGTAATTCTGAGGAACGCAGGAATAGAATTTAGTTAGAAAACTATACTCTTTTCGAAATTCGCTTGGGTCTTCTTATATTTTCTTTCGATGTTGAGTAGAGAGACTTTCATCCGCTTCAGCAGTTCTTTGTAGTGAGCTCGCGTCTAAATGACTTTACGGGTTTCCCGACCTTCATTACCTTTTTTAGTTCTTCCTCTTTTGCAAGTAGTTGAGCAGCTGCATAGTTTAGTTGTTTCTCGGCTTCCGGGTTGATGGTTAGTTTTTTCCTAAACGGAGTCATTTGTCGCATCTATAAACTACTTCAATGTCACGATCGTATCCTCCAGTTGTTGTTTACTCTTTGTTTCCGCTTCCAGTCTTGCAACCGACGATGCTAGCTCTTCTTTGTGTCGCTTTCTTTCCATTTCTAGCTTCTGCTCTAGGTTTTCGTGTCTTTTTGTAGCTTCTTTTTTCAGGTGCGCCGTCTCTTCGATGTCGGTGGCCGCCTCGACGCTTCGCGAGGGTTTTGCTTCGTCTAGAAAGGTATTATTTAGTGTTTCTTCTTAGGAGAAACCTGAAGCTCGAGATTCCATTATTGTATACTCAGCTTCTAGCTTGTCGTATATTTGGCGCATATTCTTTTTTGAGTGCTCAAAGTCGTTTAGCAATCGCGTTTCCTGAAAGGGAAACTTTCGTTTTTCTTCGTTTCCTGTTATTTTCTGCTATGTCCCAGTAATTTCATAGTTTAATTGGAGTTAAGTTTGGAGTACTTACATCTTGCTTCCACGAGGCTTCTCTTTGTAGGCCTTCTAACAGGACTTCGTTGAGTTTTCTGAACGAATTTAGAGCCTTTATGCCTTGAACATACTTTTGGAGAACCTCGAGCTCCTCAGCTTTACGATGAAGCAGGCGATCTGCCTCTGACTGTGCTGCTTGTAACCTAGGATCATTTGGCATTTGGCTTCCTTTCCCTAGCCTCTAACCTGTGAATCTCTGACGCATCTTCCTCGCGCTCATGCTTTCACGGTAGACGACGCTCACGCTTTAACTCTTCTTCATACTTGCTGTTCGTCGAGAGAAGCCGATCGCTCAGCTAGGGAAAATAGTAAACTTGCAAAACTATAGCTACCTCTGGACACCTCCTTTCTAAGCCCCGGATCTCCTCGCGGTATTGTTCCGCGTGCTCACTGGCTTCGGAGGTTTTTGCTGCTCTAGGAAATTCTAGTTAGTGATTTTGTTTACCCCGACACACCTTTCTGTTTGGAGTTTTGCAATGGATTTAGCGGTTTCTTCCTCGAAATAGGCATGTAATCGACGTTCTTTGTCATGCCACTCTTCTGTTGCTTTTCTAGATTCCACCCTTTGTTCTCGAAGCCTAAATGACTGGATTGTTATTTCGGGTCGGCGTACATATCCTCTAGCTTTAGGTTTTTCGCTTGCAACATTTGGCGTTGGTCGTCGACTTCTTCAAGTCGTCGCTCATACTCGACAAGTTCCTAAATTCTTTTAATTTTCGATCTATCGATGGTAACTTCGAATAACTTATTGTAGAAAACCGGGGAGATCTAGCTGGCCCTAAATGGTAAAATTGCTCACCAGCTTGAAGGATTCGCGAAGTTCGGATAAAGTAGTTGACCGAAACAGCTCATTTTTCACTTCTCGATCCTGCCGCTCTGCTTCCAACTAGGTACCGGATCATATCTTTAGTGATTTTAGATGCCTGTTGAATCAGGGCTCTGCTCTGCTGCTCCAGGATGTGGAAGTTTTGCTGCAACTTCTCGGTGTTGCTCTGTCTAGCCAATAGCTGGAATATTAGGTTACGGGAATTTCTGTCAAAACCGACCACTTCATTTTGTTGGGTAACGTCGTGAAGGCGCTCTTGTAATTCCACAAATTTTTGTTTCAGTTGGCGATAGTTGTCTTGGGTTTTGAGGACCAATTCTCTTTCCGCCTAAAAGATTAGTTGAATTTTTGGGCATCGAGTGTTATTGAATAAAAAATGGGAAGAGAACTTACCTCCAAAATTTGTCCTAAATCGGCTGCCGATATTTCTTCTACGTTCATCTTAATAGACTACGTTGCTATGGGAAGTTCGACATGTGCCGGTCGTCTCGTTGAAAGAATAAATAGTAGCTTCGATTTTGTAAATAAATTTTTAGAATTTAAGCAGATTAAAGTATAACGATAGATTTATCCTTCTTTATCTATTTGTAGCACCATTTGTTAACGGAAGGGGACGT